TGAGATATCTCAGCATATCTAGGAACATTCATCGGAACCGGCGTCGAAATCGGTCGACCCCTTTCCGATTGATGTTGTTGAACGTGCTGATGCTGTGGATGGACAGGAAGAGGCTGCTGGGAGTTTAGATGAATTGTCGCCGCCATATATGCTAAAGTTCAATGTGCCCAGTGCCGATTTTGAAGAAATGGAAGGTATTGTAAAGGAAAGTTTTCTGAATTTTTTTTTTTTTTTTTTTCTTCTTGTGTGTATATGTTTTTTGGAAGAGTTGATAAAACCAGTCAGACTAAGATTTATTTACTAAAAATAATAACTGTCCAGAGTTATATGAATATAGAATAGATAGGTATTTGTTGAGGGTGAGTATACGTGGAACGCGTCTCGGTGCCAACTTTGTACCTGTGGCTACGTCAGATATGATATTACCAGAAGAAAGAGATGAATTATTACAGGCTGACAGCAATATTGATTGCGTTAATACCGAAAATACTTCCTCTTTATCCTCGCAAAATATCGATCCACTCGGTGCACATTCCAAAACCGAAAAACATCATAGCACCACGTCAACTGCATCAGGATATTCGGATAAAAGTAGTGCCGCCAAAAATTCAACGACTGCCGGTTCAAGTCTACTTACTTTATACGAACGGGATACTGATAATACTACTAAAGATTTACACAATAATTCGACTTCAAATGGCAAAGATCTTAAAATACTGGAACAGCAACAAAAGAGTTCGTCTCAGACTCCCAAGAAACGGGATGCTCCTCGCACGCGACCTGTTACAGTTCATGGTCCACCTTCAATTCCTTTAGTTCTTCATCACAATGAGAATCCGTCAAAAAATTCTGCGATTTCAGATAAAAGTCATCGACTTTCTGAAAATATTCCATCACTGCCTAAATTCTCTTCTCCGCCACCTTCCATTCCCTTGCCACCAATTCCTAGCCACCATGAATCGCCAATACCCCCACCGCCCTCCGTAATACAAAAAAGACATAAGAAAAGTATTTCTTCAGAAAGAATACAGAATCCAATGGGCATCAAGCAAACCCGCGTTGAAAATGGAAATGTCATTAGCTCCACTGGTAATTATGGTGGGGTAGAATCCGGTAAATTATCAGTGAATCAAAGTTTACAGCCAAATCACGTTACGGAATTACCTTCGGATACCGCATCCGACACAAGTTATGTTGATGAGAATGTTTTGGATGATACAAAGAAAGGTCGAAACGGCAAGAGAAAGGCATTGAGTTTGATGGTCGAAACATTCAAGGGATCCGCGGCTAATTCTACGCACAGTGTTGTATCAAACAGTAATGTGCAAGTAAAAGATAAGAGAAAGACAGTAAGCGGCACTTCGGTAGGAAGCTCAAATGCCGCGAAGAGAGTGATGGATTGGTTTAGGAGAAAATCTTTAGGTAAACAAAGTTTTTCAATTAATGTATCGTGTGTGAACGATAAATCAATTGACAAATATACTTTCATGAAATCTAGCAAAACCTGAAGTCCCTGTGCTGGATGTACCATCTAAGTTGGCTAAGGTCGAAGAGTCTGTTATGACAACAAACGCACCGCAGTCAAAGAGCAAAGCAAAGAGACCCAAGAATAATCCTTCGGTGATCGTGACTCAACCCAGTAGTAGTACAATATCACAGACATTATCGAGACAGTCTAGCACCGTCGATTTAAATTCTGCGTACACCATGGTGCGGTCGATCAAAATGCATTAACGTCACGACCACCCTATGAAGTGTTCATAGTGGTAGAACAAACTTTACTCAGCATAGGCATTGAGATTAAACGCGAGAGTGAATTCAAAGTTAGCAAACGGAACGCTTACCTTACCTCACGAAGATGACGGCTCCGATGTGAATACCGGGAAGCTGTCACGGCCGTGATCGTGATCACGATCATGATCACGATCGCGAGTTTCCCCCTTCCGCGAGAAATCACGAAGAAAGCGACGACGTGAGGGAAATGGACGAAGCATGTGATCAGATTTAAACAAAAACAAAATATATTATGACATCCGATGGTTCCCCCGTTAGTACTAGACCCATCCGTCCCATCAAGTACCGTACAGGAAGGTTCACTCCGGAAGAAGACCAAATGCTTGTAGATTTATATAATCAACATGTGGAAAGTCACAAACATAACATCTTCGCCGTGATAGAGTCGTTGATGCACAGAAATTCAGAGTCTTTGAGAGAAAGGTTTTTTAATCACCTGGCTTCTGATACCGACCGTTCCGAACTAAATGATAAAAAAAAAAAATTTTTTTTGGACAGTGCTACCCCCGGACATTCGTCTCCTATCGCGTCGCCGAAATCACAAAGGCTTGGTTTTCTTAATTTATTCGGCAAGCGCGACCACAATTAATCATCGGCGTCAGCAATACCGTCCCCGACCACTCCAAGATCAATGTACGGTCAACTCTCGATAAAAGAAACTGTGTACAAATAGTCTATATATGTTGATGATCAAGGCATTAATTGAAAGTAGTTACGATCATCGAAAATTTTCCGGGTCCCGGTTTACTCGATATAAGAAAATCTGATACACGGGGGGTTTTCGAAAAAATCTGAATTTTTTTAAACGTAAAAAGTTACTACATAATAAACTTTTTATTTTATTAGTCATATATGGTTTTGTGTATTAAGTATAATCTAGACAACTAAATACGTATACAGTGAAGGTTTTGCTAATTTATAACAACATTTTATTATTAGCGTTTAGGGTCTTCATTTTGTGTGGTGATTTTTTTGATTTTGATTTTGATTATTATATTCATATTATTTCTATAACTAGTGTTTTAAGTAATTTAATATTGTTTATTAGGTTTTTAATTACTTATATATTAAATCATATAAATTTATATTAAATATTTAAAAAGTTATTTGATAAATAAAATTATTATTAAAAAAAATGAAAATTCAAAATTATCATCATAAATTTAGAATTATAATTTCTTGTATAAGTTTTTATTTTATTATATAAATGATCTTAATAGATTAAGTAAATATATTTATTATAATGAATTTTATCTATAATAAAATTTTTTTTTATTTTAGTGAAATTATTATATAATAATATATAATTTTAAATAAATACAAATTGTTAAATAAATAAAAAAAACTTTCACCCATTCATCACTGATTCTTGGAAAATTCCCTTTTATGGTAATTTTCTTTGAAAAAGTGCTTTTCACTCTCTCTTTATGCTATATATGCCATAAGTTTAAGGATACAAGGATATTAAGGACCACTGTTGCATCGGGATGGGATCTCTGGGCAGAGATCAAGCAAGTTTGGAAGTCTTGCTTGTTCTCTGTTTGCATAAGGAAAGGCCCGTGGCAGTCCTCCTTTATAACTTTGTCTTTATATGCCTCACTCTGTTCACATGCTACCATCACTATCTCTATACTATTCCTTAACATTACCAACACACTTCTAAAAACACATCCAAGTAAAATTCTTGAGTCTCCTACTTGTCTTAATCAAACCTTCTCAACCATCCTCTGTGCGATACACATTGCTGTGCCAACTTATTTTCAACAAAAACTCAACAAATTCCAAAAACCAAAAACAGTTTCACCCCTCCAAACGATCTATACATACTCAACAACCAATCATATATCAATAAGCCAACACAACAACAATCAAACCAGTTTAAGCCTGTTTAAAACAACAACAACAATTATAACACAACATTACAATACTCCAATGATTTTCCCAAACAATATAACAACCCCAACGATTCTTTTAATCATAACAACCCCAACAATTCTTTTAATTATAACAACCCCAATATTTCTTTTAGCTAATACAACAACCTCAACATTTTTCTTGATCAGTACAACAACCTCAATGTTACATTCATGTGAAAATCCTGGGCTTTTCACATGTCTTACTCAGCCCTTAATTCAATTAACAAAATTATAATCAAACAAACTGCCATTATAGTTTCACGGGTCCAGGCAGCACATTCAAAACCCATTCAGTAACACCAGCCACAATTATTTTAAATCCACATTACAATACTACAACCTTAACAAACTCACAAGTCACAAATTTAATTAGTCCAATCAAATCACAAGTCCTAACATATTATCTCTGGAAGGGCATTAACTATCCAGCACTAAAACTAATCTAAGTTACATTAAGTGTAACAAGGGTAGTAATAGTTTGCATCGTAGATAGGTTAATATTAAGTTACATATTTTACTATGTAAAAGATGTTTGATATAATCTGGTTATTATATATATACTAAATAAAGTTTTGCATCTAATGCTCTTCTACGATAAAAAAAAAAAAAAAAAAAAACAAATTGTTAAATAAATGTTAAAATTTCATTCAAATTTGCAAAAATTTTACTGAATGTAGAATTCAATATTATAAATATATTTATTTAATTTATCAAAATTAATTTAGATAGTAAAATTAAAAGTTTTATATGTACCTATTATCATAAATTAATTATAAAATAAATTAATTGTTTAAAAATTACTATATATTTATAACTTTAATATAATATTTGATTTATTTAGTTTTTTTTTTTTTTTTTTAAACACTAGCTGGGCCTTGCCCAATATACTTTATTATCGTTGAGGTTTACATATATTATATTACATTCGTTTATAACTATGCTATAACATCAATTTCATTATTTGTATAGTGGACTACATCGGGTTTCCCAAATGTCGGCTTTAAGCTACCTAATTTATACTATAGAATTTTCT